GATATGTGAAGAAGCTTGATCCAAATGTGACGCCTGAATCCGGGCTCAAGATCCAAAGCAGATTTTGGGGGTATCAGTGGCCGGCGGTCAAACAAGGGATTTACGAAGTCTTTGCTTTTCCGTCATTCCGTCGTGGCTGTCGTTGCAAAGGCTGACATCTTCCCACCAAACCTTACGCAGTTGTAGCGACAGTCGGGTTGGCGCTTTTCGAAGCATCGCCCACACTGTTCTCAGCGGGGATGTCGGCTACGACAGGGGCGGTGGTCTCTTCCTTCTTCTCCTCAACGGCGGGGGCGGCAACAGCCTCCTCCTCAGCGACGGGAGCAGGGCTGGCAGCGTCCTTCTTGTCCTTGGGTGCCTTGTTACCGGTCGCCTTGGAGAGCGAGCGGCCGAGGTTGCCGAAGAACGACTTGCGCTTGTCTTGCTTGGGAGCCTCGGTCTCAGCGGTGGGCTCAACCTTGGTCTCAGCAATGGGGGCAGGCTCAACGGCCTGGACGGGCTCAGCGGTGGCTGGCGCGTTGGTGTCGGCGATCTGAGGAGCAGCCGCGTCGACCTTGGGCTCACGAGCAGGCGACTTGGCGCGGTCCTTGGAGCCGAAGAACTTTCCGAACTTGAAGTGGTCCTTCTCCTTGGAAGGAGTAGAGACCTTGGCCTCCTCGGTCTTAGCTGGCTCGGTGGCAACGACGGCGGGCTCAGCAACGACAGGTGCGCCAACCTGGGCCTCCTCGAGGGGCTTGGCCTCAACGGCGGTCTCGTTCTCCTTGACGGGGGTGGAGGCAAGACCAGCCTCGTGCTCCTTCTTCTCGGTGGTGGGAGACTTGAGCTTCTCAACGAAGGATCCGAAGATGGAACCACGCTTCTGGGGCTTGGGCTTCTCAGCAGTGGCGGGAGCAGCGGTCTCATCGACCTTGACCTCCTCAGCGGGAGCAGCGATAACAGGGACGACGGGCTCGGCGGTGGTCTCCTCAGCGGGCTTCACAACGTCGTTGGCGTTGACGGGAGCAGTGGCGGGGACTAGAAAATGTTAGTACGAGACGATGCAAGTATGCAACGGATGAGCTTACTCTCGTCGAGGTGAGGAACAACGGCGGGCTCCTCTTTCTTGACCTCAGGCTCAGTCTTAGCAGCATCGGTCTCCTCCTTGGGCTCCTTGTCCTTCTTTCCGAGCAGGCCGCCGAAGAGGCTGGCACGCTTGCCGCGGGAGACAGAGCGGGACTTGCTCTTAGCGGCCTTCTTGCGCTTCTCCTCGTCGGAAGAGGAGCTGGAGGAAGATCCAGTGCGGGCAGCGACGGGCTCGCCAGCAGCGGCGGTCTCACCCTCGGCGAGCTTGGGGGTCGCGTCCATGCTCTTCTTGGGGGCGGAGGATGTAGCTCCCGCTAGCGCGGTGGGCTTACCTGCGGGATGTTAGCCTACTGCACCACACAGACAGATCGCCCACTAGTGCCATCGCGACGCGACTCGACGCGGGTGATTTGGAAAAACGTACCAATCTTCTCCTTGTTCTCCTTGTAGCCCTCGCTCGACTCGATGGTGTCCTTGGACGCCTTGGCCTCGGTGATGGCCTTCTCAACGGCGACGAACCATCCGTCACGCTCGGCGGCGGTGGTGGCCTCGAAGGTGTGCTTGTGGCCGGAGATCTTGAACGCGAAAGCGACGGCGCCGTCCTTGGCGAGGTCGGTGGCATAGGCCTGGGGGTGTTAGACTGTGTTTTTGGACTGTAGAGAATTCAACATACCAAGTTGAGGACACCGGCGGGGTGCTCCTTCTGGTCAGCGTGCTTGACGAAGAAAAGGAGGCCCTTTCCGGTCTGGCTGGACCAGGCGACAACGGGGTGTGCAACCTCGGGCTTCTCGCCGCGGAGGTACTCCCTCAGGTTGTCGGCGGCAACGGGCTCCTCGCCGAACCAGAAGTACTTCTTGGCGAAGCGGAAGGCGCTGGAAGTTGTTAGCAGGCGGTCGGGAAGTCGCCAAATGTGGTTCCACTCACTTCTTCAGGCCAGGCGCCTTGTAGCCGAGCGCACCGCTGTAGATGGGCTCGACGACCTTCTCCTCCTTGGCCTCCTCTACGGGCGCTGCGGCCTCGCCCTCGGTCTTGGGGACATCCTCCGTCTTGGGCGCCTCCTCTACGGGCGCGGCGACAACAGGCTCGCTGGCAACAACGGGTGCCGGCGCAGGCTCAACGGTGCCGACAGTTCCAACCTCGGGGTGCTCGACGGGCTTGGGGGCGTCGACGGGGGCAGACATGGTGTGTGGTGCAGTTTGTTTGGGAGAGCGTGCGTGTGTGGGGTTTGTGGGTGCGAAAAGAGGAGGGTTGTGAGGCAAGCTCGGGTTTGGGTATTACAAGATGTACGGAAAGGGAAAGTACGACGCTCGCAAAGTGCAGCGGCAGACAAGCAGGCACGACCTTGTTAAGGATGCGAAGGGCGGTGAGGAGGAAGAAGGATAGAAAATCTCAGACGCCCAAGGAAGGGGAGAACTTTAAGGTGAGGGCTGTTGCTAGGTAGGGGTTCAGGTGCAGGGATGCCACCAACGAAATTGGCTTTCGCGGCTGCACGTCCTCTTGGACGGACCCGCCAGCTGCTAGCCCGCCCGAATAGCACCATTCACCAACGTTATGCACTCTGACCTCTGAAACGCCCGCTGTGCATGCCGGCATCAACCTTTGCTATCGAAGCCAGAGTTGCATCTACTGTGCGTGATCCGGCATCTGGCGGCCTCCACGTTGGCGCCCACGCGTCTGATAAGCAGAGAGGTCGACTGACCCTTGGGCGTGGTCGCATGATCCAGCTGCCCCTCTTCACACTTGCCCACGATCGGCCATGTATGTCTGGCAGAGGTTGCTATCTTTGCGGGCTCACGAGACTGATGACGGCTCCAAACACGATAGCGCCTCGTCTTTGTCATCGACACCCATCTTCACTAGGTGTCCGCTGTACATCCACCAGTATACAGCGTTCGCACCATCAGTACTCCGGGCACAGTAGTAGTGCCCAGGTGAGCACCACTGAGTATAACCGTGATCGACATCGGTATCTTGCATCCAACCCACTCCATGCACATCATCACCCGAGCGCCCTCGAGTCTCACACACCCAAAAGGCGGCTCTACGGCTGGCCGCTGCAGTGAGCACCTCCCTCAACACCGCGCACCTCTGTGCCACGCCTCCGCCGTCTTGGTTGCGCCGTCGCGAACTCTGCACAACTCGCACTCTCGCGCCATGCCAAGGCTGTCTGAGCATTCAAGGCTAGACACTTCTAGCGCCTGCACGTAACGAATCGCGGCACGCCACCGCCCTCCAAGCGTGATCACCGTTTACAAAAGGCGTCAAGACCCTGGCGCCCAAATTGCTAACCTTTGCGCTGGTGCTGGCGAATGCTGCCGAAGAGACTACGTGCCGCCATCTTAGTCTTGATGGCGTTCACGCACGCTTGACTTTCTTTTCTTGCCAGTCCGACTTCGAGGCTGGTCTCTGATCTCTGGTTCTGGCATCTGCATCTACTATCTGGCGCGGTCAACACCTGCACTCCTGAACAGACCAGTCCTGGCATAGATCATCCAGATTGGACACCGCCTTGCCACAGCAACGGGTGAAGTGAAAATTGCTAAACCCGGACTGACTCTCAAGAATGGTCGCCTTCATCTCAGATCAGCCGAAAACACCTGGCCAGTGTGACTAGGGCCATGCCGGCTCAATCTTCACCTCACGTGAAAGGGGCGTCTACCACGGGCAGCACCATGGACTAGCCTGCCACAGCTTGCACTTCAAAAACTCTCTGTTACGTATCAAATAATAGTCGCCCATTCTCCAGCTGCCCCATCACTTCGATTCACATCATTGCTGCTGCCAGACCTGAGACGCACAAAAGAAATTCCGCTTGATCTACATGCCTCCTGTCATCTCAGCGGTGGTAGCCCAACATCGCGGTACGCACAGAGCACTCGATAAAACTCCGCAGACGATCTCCCTGACAGTAATTATGACCGTACCCAATCCGCGTCTCGCTCACCGCCACAGGCACTCGGGTGCAGCAAATTTGGCGACAAGAGGCTGACGGGTTCCCGTGCGGCCTTGTGCCTGGGTTGTTCGCAACCTTGTGCACCAAGTCATGTTGCGCGCCGTTTCATGCCTTTGAAACGCTAAATGCCATCCAGAACTTTGCCATATTTACACTCCACACGTTAATCAACATCTGACAAGCCACCATCGTCGTATCTGTGATCGAATCTCTGAGCCGCTGATAGCCCTGTTGTTGACAATTTATCGTCGCCCTTGCCCCATCGATGAACTGTGGATCTCGCGTCCCTGACTACTCTCGCTTCGTGGCTTCTTCTGGAGCGCGGAGCGAGTTGGCTACTCGAAGACTCCCGGCCGGGCTCCACCGCACGAGTCAACGTCGATAGCGTGTAGAACTACGGCTACCACGAGCAAGCCATGCGATACTTGTTGAGGTGTGGTTCTCTCAAATCTCACACCACATGTCAGCTACATGGCGTACAAAGTACAAATAGTCTCAGCAGCGCCACATAAATAGTCCTAGTAATCTTCCCCGCACGCCGTGATTGAGCCAACAGAACACTCCGCGGGAGGTCATCCACCATCTTCACTACCAATGCATCACAGCCAACACCCGATCTAAACCAACCATGCACCGTGCGAAACAACAGTATAGAACCAAAACCAACCTCGCATGCAACACACGACCATAGCGGTCGAAATAAGCTCAAAGCAATGGCGCTCGACTGCCGCTGCAAGGCGGGGAAGGAGGCGATGCGCGTTGGTGGAGACGGCTACCTCGACATCTGCCTTCCTCATTTGGCTGGGTGCACTTCCGTGTCTATTCCCACGTCATCGCTTCAGCCTCGCGGGACATCTCTTACCACAACTACAGCACTCGTCACCGTATGGCGCGAATACATCCTATCGGACTATTGGTGGGTATCAATTGCTGATTCCATGGTATACAAGCTGCCTCTTCTTTCTTTGTGTGCAGTTTTCTCTCTTCACTTTCTTCCGTCTGCTTGCATACTGCTTTCCACGTCCTGAAAAGCAGCGCTCCATTGTCTTTTGCTCTCTTTCCCACCAACATGTGCCGCATGGTCATATCCCGTGGAACCTTTGATTCTCGCCTCTGTACGCTCCTGCCTGTTCCTCAAGACGTTTCTCATCTTCCGCTCCTTCCTCAACACCTCCTTTGACTTGATAATGCGTTTCTTTTCCGCCGGTCTTCCCTTCATCGCCTCATCATAGATATCCTTCCTTGACTTCCCAGGCATAATGATATCATACGCAGACCGGGACCCGAAATCAACCTTCTTGTAAGCAACTTCCCAGTCGCACTCACTTGCCGGTGGTCCAAAGCCATGGGGCCGCAAGTCGAGAGTCGGGAACCCCAACAATGTTTGCTCGCCTGTCTTGCGGTCTATCCGGAATACGGCGGGCAGTGTGAAGCGCAGATCGGCTGGTTTGAGCAGATCGAAAGCAGCCGTGATGAAGCGATAGGGACTATTTTCTGCAGGTTCAAGCATTCGGTTCTTGATCTCATGGGCAGTGGGTAAGTAATCATCCTTGCTAAAGATACGCAGCACGATGTTGTCGTACGTAAGTCGATTGGTCAAAGAGATCCAGTAGCGGCCATCGAAGAGTCGCCACATTTCTCTCTGCGATGGTTTACCCAGTTTTCTTTTGGGAGGATAGACGATGTTCAATTCAGGATTTGCTCTTTCCAGCGTTTCAAGCGGTTGCCGGGTAAGCAGCCATTCTCGTGGGTGGGTCAGGTCTGGGTTGATGCCTTCTTCTTGGTGCTCGGGCTTGTTAAACGGCGAGGGCTTGTCCCAGAAGCGCCACCACACGTTGTAGACGCAAAAGTTCTTCTTTCGGAGCGCTTCACCCGGTACCACGTTTTCTTCGAGCTCCTCGAGTTCGGGATAGATGCGATAGGCGGATGCGGCGAGTTCACCAAGCGGTGCTTTCATGGCGGGTGTGACTAGTCCTGCCACGCGCTCAAGCAGGCAATATGCCGTGTTCTTCGCTTTGATCTTGTCGGCTTTGGTGTTTATCGGGTAGGGTAGGAGGTCGGAGAAAGGGGGAAATCGGACGATAAGACAGCCTGTCTGTATGTCGAGTTTGATTGGGCATTTATCGAAGAGTTTGTCCGCGAGATCTCTGTGCCACTTGATGCGCTCTTGCATATGCTGCGAGACATTGACCAGCGACTTGACACTCAAAGCCTCCGGAAGTTTGTGGTTCTGGTAAATATGGCGTATAGCGTTGCGCGACGTGAGCGTCTTGATCTGGTTCGTTTTATCTTCTGCCCAAGCTACACCCTTCTCTTCGCACGTCGCAATAAGTCTCGTCTTCTGAAACGTCAACAGAGGCCGCAGAATCTGCACACCCCCTTGTTCGACCTTGAACGGTATAAGCCCGGTGCGATCTGGCTTCTGGTGCTTTCCGCTGTGGTACACCCCATGTAGGCCCTCGCACTCTGGTATCCACTCTCTGCGCTGCATTGCCTGAAGCCCGGAGCGCAGCCTATTGTTCGCCAGCCTCATCATGACAGTCTCGGCCTGGTCATCCGCATGATGTGCGAGCATGAGGCGTGTAATGTTCATGCTTCTGCATGCTAGACCTAGCGCTTGGTAGCGGAGGGTACGCGCCTCCGTCTCGAATCGCTTGGAGTCGTTGGGATCGAAGGCATCGGGCCATGTAAGGGGAAGAATGGTGATTGGTATACCAACTTGACGATGTTAGTACTTGAACGCCAGATAAGTATCATGGATTCTCACGCTTCGTATGTAGTTGCTGTGACACCCATTTCGCTTCCTCTGTACTCTCCGGTCTTACTTTGTGGTCTACAATGAAGCCATGGGGGAGAGGCAGCTTGGGGTCTTCTAGTCGAGAGTGTGCGTATAGCGCTGCGAGTGCCATTGAATCGACACCCCCACTGATGGCAATGCCTGTCTCGTACATCAGTCGCGCATACTTGCAGCGAATACGACTGCGACTTACCCAAAAGATTCTTGCCTACATCATCACCCTTCTCTTTCACCAACACACCATCTCGCATAGCCGACATGAACTCATCGTTGCCAATTGGCAGAGCGCTCGTAGACTGCGCGCGTCGGAATAGCCCAGCTACATGGCTCCGTCGCGCAGTATGGTAACAATGCCCGCATCGTCGGACATTGTTTCTCCACATAAGAAGCACTGTCGACGCCGGTGCAATAGAAAAGAAAGCAGCTAGCAAGGGACGAATGTGAGGTTACTCGTTCTGGTAATGCGCGAGATGCCAAACGTTCCGCAGGCTGTTCCGAGGTAAGTGCACGGACATGGAATTTTCTGGAAGGGCAAAGCACAACATCTTCATCTTGCTGTCTAGCTTTCAACCCGAACATCTCTCTCTCTCCAAGCCCAGCGCACTTATAACGTTTTCTTGATTCTACGTGGTACCCAGTTCCCTTCTGTCCATCTGTCAACATGGTAAGCTTCCCCCAATACCAACCCACCATACCAATCCATCGACACGAGCATTGCGCACCAACACAACCACCCCACCACCCATCCTCCGCCTCTATCTCCACCTCCACCTCCAGCCCAGCTCCCAGCTAACCAATTCCCCCCATAGTCCGCAATCAAGTCCATCAAGAGCATCGCGCCGCTGCTCGACCGCATCCTCGTCCAGCGCATCAAGCCCGAAGCCAAGACCGCAACGGGCATCTTCCTCCCCGAGACGGCCGTCAAGGAGCTCAACGAAGCAAAGGTCCTCGCCGTCGGCCCCGGTGCCTTCGACAAGGATGGAAAGCGCGTTACCCCCAGCGTACAACCCGGCGACAAGGTCTTGATCCCGCAATTCGGCGGAAGCCCCATCAAGGTTGGCGAGGACGAGTTGAGCCTTTTCAGGGACCACGAGTACGTATACACTATACTTGGGAACTGTGGCTGTAGATTGTGGGATGTCGGCTAATATGTGATGTGCAGGCTCCTGGCTAAGATCAATGAGTAAATCGGGCATATGCCATCATCTACCATGATAGAATCAAAATAGATTGGCTTGCGTATCCTGTACCAACACCACACCCGAACATTCACGAAACGCGAGACGCTAGCATAACGGCCGGCGTTCATTTGGCATATCATCTGGCTTGGGGCTATCTGTTTTGGAAAGCGTTTCTTCGATAACATGTATTTACAAGGAAGAGGTCGGAATCAAAAGACATCAAATGTCGCGCAGATGTGGGGGAGAAACAATGATATAAGAATCTCTACTCTACCGCACTTCACTTGTTGTCGGGATTGAAAGGTCATATTTCGCATTATTCATGAATCTACTGACATGTTGCAGTGGACTGATCCATCTGGAAGCCGCGCCAGGGACGCCTCACTCCCTCTATAGCCGTCAACGCCTGAGTATTTGAACCAGCGCTTACCACCCTGAGTTTCCTCCAGCGCCCCACGCTCTTGCGCTACCTTCCCCAGGTGCGCCTTGGTCATACGAATTGTATGCGCCACCCTGGTTATACGCACCATAAGATCCTGGCGGGGGCTGTTGAGCCGGCGGCTGGCCATAGCCTCCAGGAGCAGGGTAGTTTTCGTACCCTTGCTGGTAGTTTGTAGGGACCGTGTAGCTAGGCTCTGCACCTTGACCTCCAGAGTACTGGCCTTGACCCCATCCATATCCGCCAGAGGGCACTGCGTTGCTGTACTCAGCAGGCGGCTGGTATCCTTCACCTGCGTAGGAGGACTGGTAAGGTTGGAAGTCAGCCCACTGCGATGGCTGAGGCGATGGCGATGGCTGGTATGGACCTGAACCTGGTGCTGCCAAAGAGGACGCCGAGGGTTCATCGTCCATGTCGCGAGTTCTTCCAGAGCTGCCGCCGAAGCTGCTGAGCATACCGCCGAGAGGGCCGGGAAGTTTGCTCGTCAATGAACCTAGGAGGTCGCCGGATCCGCTGGACTGCTGTTGATGACCACCGCCACCACCACCGCCATGGCTGTGGCCGCCGAAGCTCGACATGTTAACTGCACCGTGGCTGTGACCTGCAGAGTGATCGTGGTCTCCGCTGTGGTTATGTCCAGCCTTTACAGATTCAGAAGACAGGATCTGGTTCAGGTCCTTTCCGTGGTAGTTGCGGGCCCATTGCTCCACGACCTTGAACATGTTGTTGTGTACCTCGCAGTGCGGATCCCGGAGTGCTGGATGATGGAACACGCGCATACAGTCGTGCAGGACCTCGTCGACCGGCACATCCGGGTGGTCCCAAGCGTATATGACGCGGGGCGCGACGTACTGTAGGATAGCGACCGCGACTTGACCGGCGGGTGGGTTCAAGACATTGGAGAAGTGATCCTTGGACAGCATGCTGTGTGTTGGGTTGGTGGATGTAGGGTCCGTCCAGACCTCAAACTGGTGCTTGGCCGCTGAGTCAATAACGGCAGAAGATCCGCTCTTCAGCTGGGTCGATGCTGTCTTGATGATTGGCAGAATGAAGGGTGCAAGCAGTGATAGCACGAACAGCGTGACGCGCTCGGTAATAGTCTCAATCAGCTTCTCTAGACCTGGGATCTTGGAGACGATGGCCGAGATCTTGCGGACAACGTTGTCACGGAAAACTTGAAGAGGTCAGCTACAACTACGATTCTCTGTTCGCGAGGGCCTTACCTAGAATTGGGTAAATCTTGGGGATAATCGTGGCTGGATCAGTGTTTGTTCCTGGGATGTCTGGTCCCGGTGGTCCGCCCATGGATCCAGGTGGTGCAGCGAAGTCGTTGGGTCCAGCCCTAGACGAACTGTAATCGCCGTAACCACCTCGCGCATTCTCTGCAGCTTGGGCATCAGAAGAGGCCTGCAGACTCTGTGCTTGGCTAATGAGATCGCCAGTACCGGGGACTTTGCTTAGAACATCGATGAGTCCACTGCAAGCGTTGGATTGGCCTCCCGGTCCGCTTCTCTGTCCACCAGACCCGCCAACTGCATCTACGAGAGCAGTGTTCACCTCGTCGATTTCGGTCTGGGTGATATGATCGTTGGCTTCTCCTAGCACCGAGTGAAAGAAGTCAACACCTCCGAATGTACCAGTTACGAGAGGATAGGTGTGCTTTCCATGGAGGTTGATGCCAGCCTGGACGCCCACGTGAGGGAAGACATTCGTATACCCAAGCTCACGCAGCACAAGTTCAGTGTAATTAGTATGAGCTCCGAAATCTTCGAGGCAATGCAGTCCTTGACCCAGACAGCGAAGCGCTTCCGAAAGGTCTTCGTCCCGACCACGTTGGCCGGACTGTCCGTGGGTGTAAAGTCGACCGAAGTGAATGGCGCGAGCAAAAGAGTACTTCACATATCCGGTCGAAGTAGCCCAATTACCATGTTCGTTCGCGATATAGTTCTTCATACCAGTGTTTGGGTCTACTGCAAGCTCGGCATCTGAGACAGGACCTCGTAGACGAGGGTCGTATTTCCTCGCGTCCTCATTGTCGGCATAGTCTTTCTTTGAGAATGTCAGTGTCAACACATTCGTATGTCTGCAAATTTCAGTTGCTTACAGGGTTATCTAGGCTCTCGTTAGTATGACGAAGCAGAAGAGGCTCAAGTTCGCTTACCGATGTGTTCTTCGGGCCTATACACACCTAGCCTCTCGGCGGTGACCTCAAACTCTCCAGTTGCATAGCCAAAGGACATGAAAGACAAGACCCAGACCAGAACGCGAATAGTTTCTCCCTACGTCTTGTAAGTATATCGATGGGTGAAATCGCTTCTGCTGCTTTCGCGTACTTGAACTTTAGCCAACGTTCCAACATCAACAGCCTAAACCGGTCAGCGCACTCCGACGTCGCACAGTCTTTTGGGCTTACTTGTGAGTAATCGCGTAGCCAGTTGCCAAAGTACACACGCTACACGCAAGGTCAGTCACCGTCATCACAGCTACATCGTCATATGGACATACCTTGATCATGTTACTCTTCCATTTATGACCCTTCAAGCAAGCGACCGTCGCGAGCATATCTTCGATATCGCCATGACGCCAGTTCTTGCCCTCGATTTTCGATATCGACGCGATGTTTCCAGCACCGAAAGCGTCTGCGCCGGCTGGAAGTAGGACGAGGATGGCGATAGCGATAAGCAGCACGTACTGCGAGGAGACTCCCATGATCGCGGGATGTAGAGGGGAAATGAGGAAATGGAAGATGATTTAGCTCAGCGCAGTAAGAGTCTGCGATAACTGTTCGCTGGAGTCAGCTGCACTTACGTAGTGAAAGTGTGGCCCATGATGGCGCAGCAAATGACGCCACAATGCCCCACCTTCCCTCGGAAATCCGGCATGGAGGGGTAGCACAAGACCGAGCCCAACTCAGTTCCTTTCCTTAGCCAACCACGGCAGAACCAAAGTCATGATGAAACCGCAGTATAATGGGAAGTCCTGGGAGCTCTAAAGAGGTATGTGGCCTTCTCGGTTTGCGCGTTCAATACTGTCATACACTGCGCCACGATTCTTCCTGGTGTAGAGCAACCACGCTTGGTCCGCTCACACCAGCCAAGCCAGGCAGGCACGTACGTGGGCATGATACAGCTCGGAATCTTCCGAGTTATTATCGCAGCATGTGTCACACTCGAGTTCAAGGATTTGCATATTACAAGATCAACCCAACTTCGCAACCAATACCTGAGCTTTGCGTAACACTTCTCGATCCGTCTCAAAGTACAACAACCTCTCCGCCTCTTCATAGGAGTACAACCCCGTCTGAACCCCTTCTTCACCAGGCCCTTTCATCTCACAAGCACCTTCGTCCATGATCGCGACGTACCACCATATAACCTTGACACCTTGACCATCTCTCAACGTCCGCATGGTGACCATGAAAGGTTCTACCGAGTCGCGTGAGATGCGTGCCACGTCTGGGGCGTCCGCCGCGTCGCCAGCGATAGTGGCTCTGGTCTTGATATCCACTGGCAAGATATGACACTTGTATCCAGTTTCCTCGTATACTTCGCGTAGTGCAGCTTCTTTACGCGATTCTCCGATGTTTCGACGGCCTTTGGGTAGGGTCCATAGATCGGATACAAGGAGATGGATTAGGCAG